GAGAGAGAGAGAGAGAAAAAAGCAGAGAGAAAGAAAGAGAGAGATGTGTATCTCCACGGAGATATACTGATTCTCAAAAGAGGCGTCTATGCGCGCAACTAGCGACGGTCGACGTGATCTCACCGATTGGAACATCCGGTTGAAAGGGACCATGTCCCGTAAATGTCCTTGACACCTCTGTGAAAGTCCACGCGAGCGATCAGGTGAACAAATGAAATCACAATACTCGCATTTTGTAATAAGAACTGTCGATCGTTTGATTATTTTTCGATCGAGAGAGTGGAAATTTTAGCTATCGACGGATTAAAAAACAATTTTTATTTCTCTAGCTATTCTTTATTATAAAATAGTAAATTATTAATAAAAATATATAGAAAGATAAATAGAAGATCGTATAAGGAATCAATTAGATATTAAGAGATCGAGAATTCAATTAATTATCGAGGGGTTGTCACGATCGTATAAACTTAATAATAAATATTGCAAATAGTAAATAAAAGATTCTGAGTTCGAGCCGATCGACTTCATTAATCCATAAATAGGATTAATTTCTTACAGATAATTAATCCTATTTAGCTATAAATGTATAATAAAGGAAAATCGGAACAAAATCGAATATCGTTCATTTTCGTAAGAGATAAAAAAAGATTCGATAAAAATGAAGATAAAATGAAGATAATGCTTAATAAAATTTTAGAACATTTAAAGTTTTCTACATATTTTAAATGTTTTAAATGTTTCAGATTTTTTATTTTTGAAATAGCATAAGATATACAGATTCTTTGTATATTAATCTATTTTCATTTTTATTCTAGTTTCTTTTCAACATATTCATTTCACAATCGCAACTAATCCGTTACTCGTTTCAGTAGCAGAACTATGATGTGAACGCGTCGCTTCCTTTCTCTTGGACGAGATTGAAAATATCGTTAAAAAAAAAGCCACGTACCCCCATATCACCGCAGCTTCATCACATCGTTATACCGAGCGACCAGTAGTTTCGAAAGCGTGTAATAAAGTATCATTTACCATTGGATGTAACGGAAGCGCCGTCGTGGTGGCTGGCGTCGCTGTCCTCGTCTAGATTACTGTTGCTCAAGGACGTTCTGGACTGATGCCTGACACTGAGGTCCCGCGGCGTCGAAGGTGGACTTCCGGGTGGCTCCTGGCTAGACAGCCCCGACTGGTGCATTTTACTGGACGCGCCGCCCAAAATATCAGTGATCATGAACCTCGATCTCTGCGGCATCGTCGTCGAAGCATCGCCCCTCTCAAGCCCATTATTATTGTTCAAATTGTTGCTTCGCGAGTCCAGCCCGTTCGAGAGACGTTCCACGCCGTTCCGATCGACGATGTTCTCCAACCGATGTGCCTCTAGACCAGACATCCTGCTGAGATTCAGACCGTTATTGGCCACGGCGACGCCACTGAGAGCGGCCACGTGGTGGTTCTGCTGATGATGGACCGTCATCACGGTGGACACAGGTGGTTCCTTCGGGCTACGGGCACCTGCAGGTGCCTCTGTCGCCACCCCAGGACTCGCCCGATACCTGGGAGACAGAATCTTGCCGACGGTGACGACGTAGCCTACGCCAGGAAGAGTCGCGCTCTCACTCTATTTCAATTTCACTTCACTGTATCCCTCGGTAGACCCGATATTCGGATCACTTCTCCTTCCCTCTTGAATGTACAGTTACCGCATTATTCGGCATCATTTGACGATGAGCCTCGGATTCGTTACGATCGAGGGACTGATCTTCCGACGAGAGGATCAAGAAACCTCTTTCGCGACGAACGTCATCAGGATGACATGAAATGCTCGCTCGCAATGTGTTGATGATATCGATAAACGATCCAACAATAACTTCAGAAATTCGCACCTGAGACGCCGAGGTTTGCAAATCGCGCAGAAGTCCGAAAGCGATTTGAGTAATCGACGGCGAGGCGAAAATCTTCCAGGAAAAATCTGGAATAAATGGCGCGTGAGACAGATATTCGCGTCACGATGCGTGTGTACCTTGCACTTCCTCCCGCTTACTCGGTCGCTCCACCTCCGCCACCACCTTCTTCCCAGGCGCAATTAAGGGGCCGCTCGGCTCGGCTCCCTGGTTAATTGCTAATTGGCCACTTAACATAATTGCCGCGCATAAGAGCGGAGCCGCCGGCCATTTCCGCTTTTCTTTTTCTCCTTTTCCTTACTCGTTCAATTATTAATTATTTTTATATAAGATCCCCGTGGCGCGCTCTCCTCTCACTTTTGCACGATTATTGATGTGTTCGTGAAACAGCACGTCGTCTGCGCAGGTAGAAATAAATTTTAAACCTCCTACCGTTTTCCGACCAACTGTCTATTTAACTGTTTACGAAATAGACGATTCCTCTGAAGAAATTCAAAACATTCCTAAACATTGACACATTCTTCCGCGCACTTCTTTCAGACCGCAAGCATACGTGTCTGATGAATGATCACGGATAATCACTTCTGTCAACGTTCACTTCCTTCAGTCCAGTAACCGTCACTCGATTGGTCTACCTCGGTCTATTTCGTTCCGAGAGTCTATGCGTAGACCAGTTTATCGCGATCGCCTGTCACACGTGCTCAGGATTGATCACTCCCACAGTGAGACTTTCATCAGTGCTTACCGATTTCGCAAACTGGCAAGATACCGTCACAGTTTATCAATACACTGTTCCCTTTAAGTTTTTCACTGTCACCTGACTCGTTCACGTTTTGTTACGCTGTATAATCATTCGGATCACTTCGACCAAGCCAAATTTGAGTGAATGTTAATTTGCCCCAGATTGAATATCCATTACGGCAAAAATTCCTCGATCGGCAGCATCTTCCACTTTACGGATCGGACGATTCCGTAGAAGTCGATCTGGTGCGGAATTATGAATTATCCTCACCAAGGATGAAGAATCGTTTCAATCGGCCTGTCCAGGTATTGAGAACGTAGTCGTGCACGCGAAACGTGCGTGCGCATCGAGTTGCCACGACTGGTCTGCCAGTACTGAGAACGACGGACTCTTCCGTTCGTTCCTGGGCGGCCATATCGGGATTCTGACACGCCTCCCGTTCGCCCCACCACCAACACGACCGGGCCAATCGTGCTCGTCGTCGTTAAGCATCCCGCCAATCCCGATCGAAGCAACCTCGGCGCCTCCGCTATGTGCCACGGCTACGCCCAAGTAATTTGAAATGTGTTTCAGCGGTAATTCGATATAAAATTGTAGTTAATATCTTTCATTATAGTCCGGACGAGGAGAGAAGGGGGTGCCCAGGCTCCTCGCGCGGAAGACGACGATGGTGGGAGGCATGGGAGCAGAGGCAGGGGGCTGCATGGAGGGGGGGGGGACGATGGGGGGTGGAGCGGGCGGTGATACTGGCCTCCCACTTCCAACTCGCTCTCCTCGAGATGGAACAGCGAAGCGGATCGTCGAGAACGGCGGGAGAAAGCAGAGAGAAAGAGAGGGTCCAGCGAGACCCCGGCTGGAAGGGGTGAAGTGCCATCGAAACGGAGAAGGGTGGCTCCAGGCTCCGTGAACTTACTCCACGAATTTACGAATTCACGAGGACGAGCGGACGAGCGAGCGAGCGAGCGAGCGTGGCGTTTTTTGCTATGTGAATTTTTTTGCCTCCCCCCTGTCGTCGAGGCTCAAGAAAAGGCTCGTTAAGCATATCAAAGAAGCACGTTGATTAACCTGTGTTATTGACGTCGTCGTAGAATGACATTGAACATTAAATTGTGCAATAATACAGATAATCAGTGGGACTAATGATACCAGTATATCTAAATAATAGTAAATTCAGTAATAAATTAAGATCTGGTAAGATATAAGTTAATGGCTATTTTTTTGTGTAATAGGCATCACAATATCTTTCAGAGTGATTCACTCATACTTGACTGATATCTCATTGCAAATAATAATATAATTTGTAATCGAGATTTAAATGGATTCACGTGACACATATAAGTAAATTAATTTTTTTTATAAAAGAAGCAGACGTTGGGACGTTGAATTTTTTAAATGAGATTATATCTTTTAAATTCGCAGTTTTATATGCAGAAAGGAGTAAGTATAAGTCTATGTAAAAGAAAATTAAGTGACATTATTTGTAACAATCATTTTAATATAAAATTACCTTTTTGCCATTTAAAAAATATATTAATTAAACACTAAGGAACCAAAAATATCAATCATCTGCTATATGATCTTCAAATATCGGGGAAAGCTACTCAGGTAGAAATATGTCTAAAATCTCAAAACTTTTTTTTGAAATTAAGCAATGCTTATAAATGCTTAGAAAATTTTTCCACACTCTTAATCTCGTATCGTAGTATCTCTAAATTTAAGAAATTTTTTTATTATAAAAATATCTCGAATATTCTATTCTTATGTTTCAATTCTAATATTCTAACTTTTTAATCTTTAATTAAAAACTATAAAGATATAAATAAAATAGTTATATAATATTGGCGAAATAATACAAGTTAAATTTTTTTCCGATATAGAATAGATATTAAATAATATATTACAGAATGTACAATAACAATAATGCGGCAATTTAATTATATGCAATTATATGGTAAGCTATTATTTTTCAATTTTACATCTGCAATATGTACAATCAACGATACGCGTCAACATCATTAAAAGTCGTTTAACTTTTTGCTTTAAGAATTATTGTTTACGCACGATCCTAATTCAATCGGTTTGACATCGCAAATAAAAAGTCGTTTCTGTAGAATTGGCTCGCGGGACAGCTCATTTCTGTAGAAGAAATTAACGGAGCCTGTAATGCGATCGTCAAAGCGTGACTCGACATGAAAGCCGGTGACTCGTAAGAAAGTGCGCGACTAATTTTTTTCACCTTTTATTTTACACGCACCTTTACACGCGTTGCCCCCTTCGCGAATACGACGAACGAGCGTGCTCGTGTTGCACGGGCCGCGCCTGAAAGGTGATGCGTCGGTACGTACACGTCTCATTAATTAAACATGAGAATTAGATACGAGTGTCGCACTCGCGGAGCAACGTAGTGAAAAGTTAGCATCGTTAAAGAGCACACTTATTGCTTGATAATTGGCTTACTGAAATCTCCGTGGAAAGTTGGAAAGATACAATATGTAAAAATATGTAAAAAAAAAAAAACACGGAGTATTTCCGATGTAAATTTATGAACACGTAGCGTAAACTAAGGTCGATTTATGATAATATTACGACGATCTTGACGATTGGAGGAATCAACGTAAATATCAGTGTGTCGAATGCATGCAATTCTAAATTATATATGTATATGTCGTAACTCGCGGTCTCTTGCAACTCAAATTTTTGTTATGTTCATATTCATTTATTCTTTCGTAAGAGCCGTAACATTAATCTTCCTTAAATCAATAGTCCAACTTGAAGCGTAAACGAATTTCACCGGACGTTGTTAAAATTAATTTCTTTTATTTATCTAATGTCTCCAACATCGTATTTTTTATATTACATGAAAGAAACATTAGAAGCTAAATGGCCTCTCTCTGTGCAAAGTGTTTGTAATTGTGAAACATGAAAAATTAAGATAAAATAATTGCGTGACAAGATAATTTGTATAAAATGATGTACGTTTAAACGATGTACGTTTAATGGAAATGAGCGGTTAATGTCGTTAAAGTACACCACTCCGGTGTGGGCGTCGGAAATCTCGAGGAAAATTTTCTCGAGACTCTTTTGATACTTTTTTAAAAGCGAAAAGCAACCCGAAGATATTAATATGGATATATCGCGCTAATACCTCGACAAGTAATATCCATGTGTATTAAATTCACCGTCATTAAATTTACATGAGGATGTGACTTGAGCCTTGCGATCCGGTTAGGAACACGAAGTGAAAAGTTAAGAGCGTTAAAACTACTCCTATCAACGTGCCAATTAAGCCTCATAAATCCCAAACCGTCTGGCTGGACCTTAATGACATTTTTCAGTCACTTTGAAACAATGTATAAACTTAAGCTCAACATATTCAGGGAGAATTTTCTATAATCTGAACACTGTCTTACACTCTCTCTTTCTCCCATCAGAGTTTTTTAATTTTTATAGAAAATCTTAATTTTTCCTCGTGAAAAATAATGATGCGCTAGACTTTGTAATTATTTTTGTAATTATTAATTTATATTCTCAAAATTAAAATAAAATCTTTAAGACTGTATTTTTTTTTAATTAATACCAGTTTTCTAATAAAATCATACAATGTAAATAAGCTAGTTTTGCTAGTAAAATCAATGTTTCCATTATCGACTTTTTTTAAAACATGTTTAAAAAAAAATAACGCAGTTGTACACATACGTCTCGTCGTTATAATGATAAAATGTTTCGCGAAGTAGTGTTTTCATGTTAATTAAATACTTTGGAAACCAACAGATGTTGTATGTGGAACAGAACTCGAATAAATTTGTTTATCGGTTATCTTTAACCGACCAGTCCTTACGTTCGCCTCGATGAATTAAAAGTCGCTAATACAACAAGACAGCTCAACATCGATGCTCAACTCACTTTACAATCCGTTTTTAGCAGCTGACGTTAGAGGCGGACATTCGTACGATCGTGACCTAAGACGAACGCACGATAAAAGTCCTGAAATTAACGATCCTTTAAAACGCTCGTAAAATTTGCCCAGATAAGAATCCACCTTCCACTTGGTCCGGCCTCTCCGCACCGTATCGTCCGCTACGTACGAAATACACTCGCGACACACAAATTTACTCCCACACGCAACCGCAAAAGTAACGCAACCTGCTCTCTTTCATTAACCGACGCCAGTGAACGAGACACACACTATTTTTTTTCGTATTGTATTATACTTTTCGCTTGTACGGTTAAAGC